TTGAGTACGAGAGGGCCCACACGAATAATTTACTGTTCATTCTATCCTCTTGCAATATATGTAAAAAGCTAATTGTGATTGGTATGAGGTCTTATAGCATGAAATTCCAAAACCAAATGGAGATATGACGTGAGCTGTCTTTTCGTGGCCTAATTTGTCCCTCGGAACTCCCAGCCGCAGCGTATGCATAACAAAGGCGAATCGAATTCAATTGGTCCGTAACATTTCTTTAGGTCTTTTCAAAATTATTCGAAATACAAACTCTAATTGTATTTAAATATAATATAAAACTTTCACGTCCAAATCAAAATTTGTTTCAGAATTTCTGCTAAATTTGACTTTAATTGAACAAAATAATTCTACGATTCATCTTTTTATCCCGCAAAATATGAATTTGTTAACAAGCAATTTTCAAAAGAATCCGGATAAAAACTAATCGAAAAAAACAGAATTATTTACCGTTTATGTGAATAAGTAATTCGATTCTTTTGTAAAGAAAAGATGGATTCTTTTTTTTTAAAAATAAAACCAAAAATAAAATGGCTAAACCGTCAAACATGGAATTGAATTCCGGAATCCGTATGGGGAAAAATTAGAAAATTTTTCTTTGGAATCAACTATCATTCTTTCATCACTCGTTATGTCTTTGTATTGTTCTCACAATATTTTACTATTAATGGAAAGGTAATTGCTTTATTCCTTCGACTTTTGCTGCTCTAATTTTGTTACATTATATATAACTCCACTTGCACAAGGATACGCCAATTATATATCACAACCAAATTATACGAGAGTGGTACATATAAAAAAAAAACCCCATGAACGAATAACGCTACATTTGAAGCCTGAAAACGATAAATAAAAAAACCGTGGCTCATATTTCATCATTTATCAAATTTGCAAAATTCATGTTTACTATATCCTATATAGATGGTTTATTTATGGGTTTGCCATATATTGTATTCTAAAACATTGAATTTATAATTAGAACAAATCTCAAAATAAAATTATTGTAAATATGGATGAGGTGCAAAATAATAATATATAAGATACAATTTGTCTGCAGTACACTCGGTGAGTTTTTTTCCTTTGCTTAACAGGAATGATTTGTGTATCGGTAGAATTATAAATCTTGAAAAATAATATAAATATTAATAATTTCAAATTTAGAAATCGAATAACAAAACTGATAGAATTATTTATATCAGAAATTCTCTAACAGTTATATCATGGTTTAATGTCATAATCAATATGTGGTATAATTATTATTTAATGTGAATAATTATGGTTAATAATTACATATGATCTAATATACAAATATAGAAAAATATATAGGATCAAATAATTATGTAGATATCATGAAAGATTATTTTCTAATTTTTTATAATCGAATTAGAAAATAACACAAATCCATTACTATAAATAGATGGTAGTGGTCTATAAACTAAACATATCGAAATTTATAAGCATTCGTTTGCTAGCAAACAAACCATTTCTTACGTAATAATCTAGAAATCCCCTACCTATTCCAATACTCTGCCATTTGTCAACATTATCATGGATTCATGTATGTTCTAAATTACAGATTAATTTTTTGTGTGATATGTATGATGATTGATCTAGTGATTATATTCCGCATTTATATATAATAGTATTTTTTTATAAATACTAACAAGTGATATTAGAATCACATCATTACATATTACATAGAGAAATATGCACGAATCTAAATTCTTGCATGCTGAATATATATATATGAATGAACAGAATGTTGCATGTTGAGCATATGAAATATATATTTGGGACTAAATTAAAATGAAGAAAATATGTATGATCAACATGAATATGGAAATTTCGAATGTTTGAAGTGTAAATTGATTTGCATGCAACATTCATAAGACATTCAAAAATATATGGCTAGATATAATTTTCTATCAAAACATAGAATGAAGCATGCAAAATACTCAGTTTGGCAATTAGACCAATTAGGCCACATAATTATAATATTTATATTTTTCTCCATCTTGGTTATAAGGCCAATTAGTTTTATTTTGTACAAAAATTCCAATGATATTATGATAGTTGCCATGCCACTTGGTAGTGGTGTCACTCAAATGCAAAGTTATATTTGGCAATTAGTTTTCCAAATGGTGTTGTTGTCCACAAGAATTCAAATGTTATGTTTGGCAACAAATCATAGTCAAATTTGAAATTCAAATATCCTCAATATACTTTTCATGTTTATTATCTTCTGCATAGATGGTTTGTTTCGTGGATTTTTTCATAGTCAATATTTATTCTAAAATACTGGATTTATAACTCTCAGATTTGTGTATGTCTTTTATCTAATTATTCTATTTTCTTTTTTGTTGTAGCCAAAAAATAAAAATATATCATGTTTATAAAATTTCTTATTATATTATTATATACATCATCATAAAGACGATATTCAGTGTATATTATGTTAAAAATAATAATATAAAAATACGGAAAAAGAGGTATAAATACTATTCATTTTATGCTATGAAATCAAATAACAAAACCGATAAGATAATTATATGAAGTTTTGTTTTTATAATTTAGAAGTTTATCGCGGGTCTTTGGACTGACTATATCTTCTAACAAAATTGGAGAAACCCGCGTGAATATCCACCCGATCTTGGATATTATTACATGAAGTTGGTTAAGCATTAAAAGATATTGATCCAATCGCCAATCTTCTGAGTCATACATTCCTTCTCGAGTTGCCAATACACTTGCTAAAGATGCAGGATTGTGGAATATGATTCTATGTTTTTGGTATTTATTTTAATGGAAACCAAATGTAAATAAGGTTTAGTTCTATATAATTTACACAAATGAATTGTATCATATAGATTAAAAGCTTATTTCTATCTATATATTTTTGTAGTGGAATAATTTTAAAAGTTTGAGATGATTCAATTCATGGCCGGACCTACATCTAAATGAATAGGATTACATACCTCCATTTATTTTATTAAAAAATTTAGTTTTTTATAAAATTTTAAATAAAATTGTTAAATGGTCTATAATAAAATTAAGTTTATTTCTTATTATAAAATTTTCTGGGTCTGTTACTAATGTTTAGATAAAAATAAACCGGATTTATTTTATAATTTTTAATGATTCTGATTTTATTTGGATAAAACAAAAGAAAAAAGCTTTATTTTATTATGTTATATTTATATTTTAAATCTTTATATATATATATATATATATATATTTAGTTTTAGTAATAAAATAAAAACGTAAATCATGTACACCACATAATTATGATATTGATATTGGTCTCCGAATTAATTATAAGGCGAATTAGTTTTATTATATAATAAACATTTCAATGCTATAATGATAGCTCCCACTCGGTAGTGGTGTCACTCAAAAGTTATATTTGGCAGCGAATCGAAGTCAACAGACAATCATCGCCTGCCAAAAGACTCCATGGGTTGTTTTTCTTTCCTCCATCACAATGTTTACATCGCATTCCTAAATAAACTGTAAATATATAATTTGAAAGGTTTAGTCCATAAAAATTTATGAACTTATAAAATGGTAGAAAATAAAATTTTAAACTTTTTGTGTAATAAATTTATTTTCAAACTTATAAAATGAGTCATTATAATTTCTAAATTTATAAAATATATCATTATAATTTTAAAATTACTATCGTCAATATTTTTTTATACCAATTAATAAATTTGGAAATTATAATAATATATTTTACATATTTAGGAATTATAGTATCATATTTTACAAGTTTGTTTAATAATTTGTTTTTTACCATTTTATAAGTTTAGAAATTTTACCCAAAATCGCTATAATAATTGGTAGAAAAATGATTTTCTCTTGCATATAAAAAACGCCAAAAAAACACAATTATTTTAGGGTCTTATGATACGGAATGAAGGAGTTTAGTAGGGGTGTCAATCGGGCCGGTCCGACCCGACCTGGTTCGAACCCGTACTCGGCTCGGAAGTTTCGGATTCGGGCTCGGGTCGGTCCAATTTTTTTCAGACCTATATAATTAAGTTCGAAACCCGGCTCTATGTATTCCGGGTTCGGGTCGGGTCGGGCCGACCCATGGACTTTCCTTTGTAAATGTTATTTTTTTTCTTTTTTTAAAAATTTTCGGGCTTTCGGACCGGTCCAACTCGAATCCGAAGCCCGATTTGAATCCGGCCTAAAAGCCCAATTTTTTTCGGACTAAGAAATTTCGACCCGATGCCCGCTATTTTTCGGGCTGGACCGGACGGGGCTTCAGACCTCGGACCAAAATTGACACCCCTAGAGTTTAGTGCCCAAAATTAAATCTAATTAAAATTAATAAAAAAAAAAAAGCAAAGCTGAGCGTTCGTTGACCATCACTTTAAGCGAATCGGTGCTGTATTTAGTGAAACTGCTTTTGGTTGCCAATGATACTCTTTCACACAGATTTATTAATGCTATATATACACACTAATAATATAATAACAAAACTCACTAATTTAGCTTTATTGCACATAAAATTAACATTAACAACCCGAAAATTTTGTGGTGGCTCAATGGTTAGAGAATTGATAAAAGTTATCCTTGATATCTTGGTTTCGAAATCTTTACAACTAATTTAAACAAGTCAACAATTTAGATCGAGTTTCAAAAATTTGAAACTCGGATATTTAAAATCTTACATATTTGTGTAACGTCCCTTAACAAGTTTATATTAATCTGTAATGAAACGTGCTAAACGCTCATAGTAATACTAAATGTAAAGTAAGACGGGGGATAGATTCCTTGGTTATAAATTATAATTAAATAAAATTGATAATTATGAAGAATCAATCGTTAGTGACACTATAAAATAAAACAATAAATTGTCCGCCACAAATGATGGGACACTTTTGGAGGATAATGTCCAACCCACCGTTTCATGTTGTAGTGCAACCATCCACTATATATGCATACACACACACATACACAAACTGCAATTAATGGAACAAATATAGATTAACATTAATTATTAAAAAAAAAAAGAGAAGGAAAAAGACAGAGCAATGGAGGTTGAGAAAACGGAGAAGATGAAGGCAGAGGACGAGGACAAGGTTGAATATAGAGGATGGAAAGTCATGCCCTTCATCATTGGTAAACCCGAGTTTGGTTTTTGATGCTTTGCTGTAATATTTCTATGATCAATGACGATTATAATATTCCATTTTCATTATTGGTAAAACCCATATTAGTTGATGTTTTATTATATTATTTGACGTATTATTATTATATATATATATATATATATTATTTTTTGTAGGAAATGAAACATTTGAGAAGCTGGGAATAGTTGGGAGTTCGTCGAATCTCGTGATATACTTAACGACGGTGTTCAACATGAAGAGCATAACGGCGGGGGCAGTCGTCAACATCTACGGCGGCACCAGCAACTTCGGCACCATCCTCGCCGCTTTCCTATGTGGTTAAGCATTAAAAGAT